GACGAAAGTGACAAGTACACAATTGATCGATTATAATGCTGCAAAACAGACTCGACGCTGTGTCTTGCGGGGGCAGCGTTGCCGGTATTTTTTCTATTTGTGTGATAACCTGATAACATGGAAAATAAATAATGATCAAATTACTACTGCTTTTTTTCTGTCAAGACAAAAGTTTTGGCAGTTCTGCAGCTCTGGAATGACTATTGTCTTCTGTAATAATTTCTTTCCTCAGTCCATCTCTGAGTTGGCCTGAGATACCTGTATCATCCTATCCGCGGCAGAAGCACCAGAGGTGAAAACAAACGAGGATAATACAACTTCGGCCGGCGAAGCATTAAACCTTATTGCTCCGTCGAACTCCCAACTTCCACTGGTAATACATTCGGGTGGGAGTAAGTTTGTATCAATAAGCCATTACCCGGTGCGTGCTCGGAAAGTTTTCGTTTTCTACGGTCGGCGGTTGCGACGCGACGGAAACAACAGTGGCATTTGCAGCTGTACAGTTACCCGAGGAGAAAGTTGTTTTTGCCAGATGAAAGTTTTTCGATTATGATTTTAGCGGCGGGAGTTTACAACTCCCGCCAGTCGTTTACCTGTATCAACTTCGGCCACCGACGTGCAGACAATTTTGTAAAACTTAATTGAAAGCGCCGTGAGTTGCATGAATATATTATTTATTCTAAGAGAAGGTTGAGAATCCATAGGGAACTATTTTATAAAGGGCGGTATCAAAACTACACCCTTTAATCATACAGGGTGGCGCAAAGAAAACGAAACAGACGCATTTACTGGCAACTCAGTTTTTTTTTTAAAAACGCTTAGACCCGTCGATTTTGTTTTCGAGGGGTACACAAGTTTGGCAAAAAATCGCGTTAACACCCCTGGGCGGGGGTTGCACCAACCCTAAAATCTTAAATCGAAAGGGGGGTCGAGTGATACCTTATTTTAAAGGTCGTTCAGTTCCCTTTATAATGATGTAAAATACATAAGCATAAGGATCTGCTCTCGTATCGTTAACCTGCACAAAGCATTTTCCCAAAACTATCAAGTGACATCGTATATGAAATCCGTATTACAAATCAAAGCTCCGGCTATGTCATCGATGGCTACCCCGTGTTACGCAAAGAGCTAAATCAATGTACACAGTAGCTGGATGCCTTTTCTTTCCGTCCAAATAATCTGGAAAGGCAGTTAATTAGAAAGGGATCCACATGAAGCATAGCCAGAGCATCTGCACTAACGCAATCAGAGATAGGCTGGATATTTTGACCCTAACGCTATTAGTCTAGACCGACACCACTCGGTTGCTTTTGTTGTCTTATTGATTGCCTACAAGCTCGATCAATCATCCCCTAATACATTAAGGGTCGTTTACGCTTAGACTGACTGCCGGATGGTTTGTGGCGATTGAGGTGAATCTGAGAGTACAATGCGGGTGCCACTATCTCCATTTATGCAGGTGGCGGCTGCGGCTTGTAATTCAGGATATTTTCCCATCCCACATTTCCTATTTGCCTTTGCACTTTGAGTTCTACCCACTGTACTTTCATTTTAATTCCAAAAGTTCTCTGGGAAAATCACTTCTCTTTTTATTAGTCAATATAGTAAGAATGACATAACAGCAGTAATTATTGTATAATGTTTAATTAGGTATTTGCTTTAGCCAAGGAACACGCACAGCATAGTCAATTATGCTGCTGTTTGGTGGAGATAAATATTCATATCTTTACATTCCAAAATCACGAATTAACCTGGGATTTTTCATGAGCCATACCATATAAATAATTACTTGCGTTTCTTCGCCTTATTTAAATTAAGTTATCCGTCGTAATTGACGGGTTCTCCTCTTCCTCCCACAACGTCAACACGGGTGTTCCGCAGGGATCGGTCCTGGCTTCAACATTGTTTCTTCTACATGTCTACTACATGTTCAGTACGACAAAGTCTAATGCCTGGTCTGATGTCTAATTAAAACAAAGATCCCAAACGTACCGCAAATAAGTATTGTGTAGAACAAAACAACCGACTTTTTTCTTTGGGTCCTGTTTACCAGTACTTGGTTGTCTGTTTTTTTCCGGCGACAAATAAAAACGTTGTGTACACAACACATAATCGTTCATGCAATTTCTTGGAAAATAATTACAATACCGATAATACAGCCGCAAAACATTTCGCAAAGTGATGTAAAACACTTTAACTGTAACTTTACTTGCTATTTTAGCACATATTGCATTGTTAAGTAAAACAAACATTAAAACAGCTATCGTAATTTCCTTAGAAATACATTTCAAGATTACCAGCGCAATGTTACGTTCTGGGTATACTGTTTACCCTAAAACCTGCAATCAAAAGTCGTACGATATGCTTAGATTGTATATCATCAACTGTTAAAGCATACATTTAAAAGCACAAAATAGCGTGATTGACATCAATGATGTGCAGGTCGATTTCCAGTAATGAAACTAGTAATCATTTTAATTATACGTTAGTTGTACCGCAATGATTCTTTTTTATGATATTAGCGACAATTCTACTCGTTTTCCAGTGATATTTGCTATGATTTATTATTGTATTCAGTTAACAACACATGTACAATATAAGAGGGGAAATCCAACAAAAACAAACAAAATTACAGTATATAAATTCAAATAAGAAACTACATAATCAAAAAAAAAAACTTATTCTCTGTCTAACTGCGATGTAACACTCCTTGCGAATTTTCCCACCAGCCTTTCTGACCTATGAGTTGCTCGAATACCTTGCTTTGAATCTAAAGCGTATCCTAATATGTGGATTTAAGCTCAGTGCCATTTTGCAATGACAGACATTTTAGGTTGAGCGTGTGTCGTCCAATTTCGGATTGTTTTACAATGGAGGAACGCACCGGAACGTCCATCTCTTGGTTTGGTCACCTTGCATTGGAACCGAGACGACTAAAGCCAACATCAATAAAATTCAGCGTTTGGCTTGTACCAGTACAACAAGCGCACTGCGGACAACGCTATTGTTACCTTACTCTGTGCAAAGCAAAGTCCTAGCTTTGACGACATCCTGTATAAGGTTCACAAATTTGGGCTTTCCATGGCCTCAACTGAATAAGATGCATCCTTTCAACAAGATAGGGCCTAGGACTAAGGTCATACGTCGAGGGAAACTCACATACACGTTTTCAAGATGGCTGTGTTTAGCTATTGTGATGGCCAACTGGCTTAGAAGATGTAATCCCTCTTGATATTTTTTTGGGATGTTTGCTCCAGTAATCCACAGACAAGCAGACACCAGATGTCTTGCAGCAAAATATTTTTAAAATTATTGATCGTAATTGTGGCACAAGATTCCTGGTAATTTTAATTGTGCAATAGTCGTGTGTAGGATCAGTTAAGAGGGGTATCTGGAAAACACTGTTCGTCGAAAAATCTAAAGGTAGCTCCTGCTGTTCGAGAAAGTAATTTAAAGAATGGAATGCTATGTACTGATTTTTAGTTTTTAGTCAATTTCCCATGTTAAGCTGGTCGTTTAAAAATATAATTGTTATTATCAAGCACTCTTCCTATTATCTTCTTGTATATCTTACACTTCATGCAATCTCTTCCAATCATGTATCGTTATCTATTAGGTTTTAACCATTCTCGCTTACTATAGGCGTATCAGGGTACCATACACGCGTGAAACGCTACCATAAACGACTGTTTGTTAGAATAAATATGAGTATATTGACCAGTATAAATTGGTACCCAATGTAAATCACACGCACGCCACGGCACGGTACTACCAATCAACGTCCGCTTGGTCTGTCTGCCCTTGAACAACCTGTCGATCTCCCACTCCTGCTGGCCGAATCTTTTCAAATGATCGCGGTACTGCCGCAGTATATCTAATACAACTCAGCGGTGCAACGATCTGGATGTTGGAGTCTTTGGACAAACTTCTATGACCTTGAGAGTTCGACATAAGTACATTTGGAAAATAAGGAAAAATAACACAGGAAAATGGCGTCATGTGGACAAACGAACTTTGAATATGCAGCATGTATAGTATCTAAGCCACCTTTTCCTTGTAACTCAATAGCATAGAGGACAATTAATATCAGTGAAAAACGGTACTGTTGATTAACAAAATGAAGCCATTGCATATATGTCTGGACAAATTTCGCACGCATTGATATCATTACATCGACGATCTCGATGACGCTGTGGCTGGAGCACCGTCAGGGTTGCTGAATTCGGATTAGACCCTTTTCAGGTAAAGGGTGTTGCGTGTTCCTGGGTAGGTGGTGTGACTGAAGCCACAGGCGTAAGTATTATGTGAAACTCTGCTGCAATCTGTTCTACTAGAATTTGTCATTCATTAAAATCAAATTTCATAAAAAAAAACAGATACCAGATTCAAGTGGCCGGATCTTAGATGGGTTGGATAAAATTTCCCCAGAACAAGCACAAAAATCGCTGAGTATTGCTACTTTTTCAAAAAAAAAAACCAATCATAGTTAATCAATGCAAAGGGGTAGGTTTGGTTCAAAGAGCGAGGTGATGGTTTCTATCTGTGAAACTTGTAATTTTCTTCAAAGCATTATATTCACAAAACGTTCCACAATTAAAAATTCCCCAAATTTGGGGGAAAATCCACCAACATGGCAACCCTGTCAAAGTCCCACTGGTACTGTAGCCAAGTTTCGGGGTCATTTTTACAGCACTTATAGTATTACCGTAGATTCTCCTGATATGTAGGCTTCATGTCTGTTATATTGAAACAGCCATTTTGATTTTCAAAATTCGTTAATCAGCGATCATTAAAACTTGAATATACGATGTTTTTTGGTGAAATTTAGTGGATTTTTCTACTTGTGATCATATTTTAGGACCTTTGAACCATTCTGTATCGTGAAAAGTTGTGCTGCTGTTTAGTTTTAGATCTACCGCGGTATTGCCGCGGTATAGTGGTACTACCGCCTCGCGGTGCTACCTTCGTCTCACCTGCGGTAATTTCAATCCCCGTGTGAGAATGGGACAGGGCATGCCGCGGCAAAAAACAAGTTTTGGTTTAGTTACACTCAACGATCCGCGATGTTTACAACCGCAACTGTAAACAATCAAGTACTGTCACCGCCGCGCCGCACTGCCATCCGGTACTACCGGTGCATACTCTAATATGTGGAGGGCCATCGTACCGTGTTCCAATAGAACTAGGTAAAGTAGTAATAATGATATAATCGGTGTTGGTACACGATCCTCGACGGATGCGTTGGGTGGCTCGAACTGAATATAAATGAGAATGAGGCTCACGTGGTACTACTAGTCGGATCACTATCAAATTAATTTGTACAGATTTTGCGTGATATCTCAAAGCCAGTTCCTCGTTTTGCCGGGAAGAGTAAAGCTCTTATCTGTTGGCAATACAATCAAGTTCTGTAGTGTTTTAGATTGGGTACTACTAGAATAGACCATTGTACCTTGCCGAAAACAGAATTGTATTGATACGATGCTTACCAGAATTGCTTTAGACTCTGATTATATAATGAACTTGTCACGAATTGCTGATAAGGCCAAAGCTATTTTTGTTGTGTTGGTACGATGTCTCCCGGCACAGTGTAAGCTCTGATGAAAATAAGGTTGACATGGTACTCCAATGAATACGGCACCTCTAACAGATTTGGGTGTAGACGCAGCTGAAGTTTTCTTAGGAAAATAGAAGCTCTTATAGCTGTCATTAGGTAACAACACAGTCAGGCACTGAGCAACACTCGTACATACAGTAATAGTATGTGTTCGGATAGAGCTAGGTAAAGTAGTACTAATGATATAATCGGCGCTGGCAGGATGTTCGATAAATGAGTTGGATGGCTTGCATTGAATGTAAATGAGGATAAGGTTAACAAGGTACTACTAGACAGGGTCACAAGCGAGATGTTACGTGATAATTCTGTCTTAGCTCTATGGTCTGAAAATGCAACAAAGTACTGCGACAGTGATACTGTTGTCGACTACGATGTTGAGATGATGTTGGGTGGGTTCCATTCAATGTAAATAAGGATAAGCACAACATGGTACTACTAGATACATTATTCAAATGAGATTCAATCCATACAGTTTTTGCGTGGACGCTTCAAACTGGCTGCCCATTTAGCTAGAGGTGGTAAAGCTCCTACCTGCTGACAATACAGCAATTAAGTACTACTTCTACAGAGAACATATGAAAAACCATTGCACCATGATTAAGAAGGACTGAGGGTAAACTGCTTCAAATTATGATCAGAATAAGACTGATATGGTACTACCAGATCAAAAATGTTTTTGAATAAATCACGTACTACGAGAGAGTACTACTGGTGCATAGTGTATGGTTTGAAATAAAATAGTGTAATTACTAATAAAATCGTGGATATTTTGCAATGTTGGTACAATTATATCCAAATGTTACGTTGCAAATATCGAATACTAATTGGATAGAGGTTAACATGGTACTACTTGATATATCAATGACATGTCACTTGAAAACAGTGAGTGATATTTTGAAATTAGCATATCCTTTTTTACAGTAGAAAGCTTTTGTATCGACACATCCTACAAAAGCCAAATACCGTAATTTATCACATATGAGTACCACTGGGATGTAGAGAATTGAGTAGCATTGGGTAGCGTACTACTAATAAGATCGTGACTACCCTTTCTAAATTGTTACAATAATCTCTTGGTGCTTGCACTGCAGATTATGGATTCTAAGTTACTGAATAGAAAATATTCAATTAATAACACAGAATCTGAAAAGTTATGCTACTATCAAGCAGTACTGAGGCTATGACTGGATACCATCGATATTTCATTAAACTGAGTACCGCGTTGATTATGAAATCTGAGCATAAGGTACTTCTACGTCTAGCAACTAGCCTCTTTCGCAAACCTGTAATTAAACGAAATACTTTTAATGGACTCTTGGGAGTACCGAAGTACTACCAAGATGCATATTTAAAAAATCCTAAGAACTACAAACTATTCCTTAAGTTATTTCGATTCCAGAAATTTGGGGCGTGTCGAACTCCCAACCCAACTGATATTGTCTAACAAAGGTGGTACCTATGACGTTATACGATTCTGTTTATTATTGTGATTCACTGTACGATGCTACTTGATTTGCATTACAAATGTGGTACCGTCGACATGATGATGTTTTATAATATAACTCCTCTTCCTTTTGGTATTAACAAACAAGCTATTAAAATCGGATGTTTCAGATTTCTGAATCTTAATTGTCGTATGACGTCAGAGCTAGATCAGAGTACTATTTAAGACTGCAAAAACAACACACGTTATATGAGAGTGATTGGTAAAATAGAGAGGTAGCAAGGAGGTTCTTGCATCCTTTGATGGATCAAAATTCTCTTTAAACACAAAACTGCAAACAACGTAGAGGGAACCATGCAGGTCCCTTTGAGAAACCAAAGGGCCGAGCCTCCCTGGCTTCCGTTTGAGGAGTAAGATATTCCTAATAGAAAATACGTTTCTTCGACAACATCTCTACATAGAAATTATTTCTCTCCCAACGCATGAAACATCTAGTAATTTGCTTCAAGCTGGATGATTGGCCCTTTAAGCCCAATCTGCCGCCCCCCCCCCACCTGAACTTTGATATATGAACGCCCATGGCACTAACAGAGTGGGTTCCAATACCACAGGACTCAAACCTCGCGAAGAGACGCGATTTGTTTTGTACCATAAGAATGATTGATGTGTAGTGGAAGTGACAGTGAGCTTAGTTTACTTAACAACCAAGAATCTTCTACACTACAATGAAGAAAAAACGAAGATTTCTAGAAGCATCTGTTAGCCTTGCGGGTAAGTACCTGGACTGTTTTTTTCCTTTTCTAATCAGCACTAGGTCACTCGCAATCCATTACAATCGAGCTCTACCCTTTTCAATCAAAGCTAATAATTACGCTCCCAACAATAAACAATTTCATGGTTCGAACATTCCGGATGATAAACGACTGAACGTAAGCGCCGTGCGAATTATATCATCATCATTAAACCTCATTGAAAATGTGTATAGAAATATAGCATATACGATACTATACAGGGTGTTTAAGTACGTGGCTTAACTACAGGAAGTGGTAATTTGAATAATTTTAAGATGGAAATTTTAGATAAACATAGGCCCAGAACGCTTCATTTTCAAAATACAGGCTTTCGATTAAAAAAAAATCGGTTTTTCCTAAATAACTTGTTAAACTTCCAGTCGATTTCGTTTAAATTTAGTAGTAGTATTAAGGGCAGTCAGGGGCTAATTTAGTTCCGATTACATTGGAATTATTAAGTCCAGTGGCGTTCCAGAAAACAACCTAACCAATATCTTGGACAAAAAATTTGTGCGCCACTGAGTTTTTTAATTTTTCTTTTTTTCAGATTAAGCACCCGAAAATACAGCTTTTTTGTTTCTTGAGTTTTTTTTTCATCTCGTTTCGTTTGCGAGATAAAAAATAAAAAGCACTTTATTGCATGTCCCTATAATAAAACGTTAAAACAGCCAAACTAATTAAGCAATTAACATTAGACGAAATACAACTATTGATTTTTTTCGCACATATTCAAAACTAATTTCGATGAAACAATATAACACAAAGTAATCGCATAACGTGGTAATTTATAACAGCAATGTTTTAAAAGTAACAAAAAATAAGAGTGCCATGGAAGGAAAAACAATTGCTACTCAAACAAATCTGACTTTGACATAACTTATTTAAAGCAATGCTTAAGAAATGATCGTAATTATTTGAGTGTTTCAAGAGTCTTAAGCTATAAAATTACTAATATTGGAAAATGGTTCACAAATTTTTTGTCAAAGATTTTGGTTAGGATGATTTTTGAGGCCCCACTGGACTTGATAATTTCAATCGATTAGACCCTTCCGGCACTTAATACCACTGCTAAATTTGAACAAAGTCGACTGAAAGCTTATTAAGATATTTAGGAAAAACCGATTTTTTTAAAAAAGTTTGAAATCTTGAAAATGAAAAATTTCTGGCCTTATGTTTATATGCACATTTCATCTTAAAATTACTGAAGGAATCACCTCTTGAAGGTTTGGCCACGTACTTAAATAACATCCTGTATTGCAATGTTTACTCCCTAAGAGGTAAGCGGGTTTTTCGGCACTGAAAATGACTCATATTTTGAATTGTCAGCTTCTATAAAAATTTTGCACTTAAATATTTCAAAAGATACGTATTTTGAACCTTCCTCAATACTTTCATTTTTATTCCAGTACTTGATTGTCCTTTTGAAATCCAACTTTACACGTTTGGTTTTTTTGTCTATCATTCACCTATTTTCGAATATTTCACCTATTATTTATTTGCATATGAGAAAATAGTGGGAGCACTGTCGATTTCAACTTTTTAATAAAACACACCGAGTACACAAATCATATATAAAAATTGTGCTATTGCGCTCAAATTGAATACAAAATTGAAAACATATTGTGTGCGAAGTGTGTATTTCACTATCGATTTGAAGTAGAAAATGTTGCGACCATACGATCGTATAAAAGTACTAAGCTAAATATCTACAAATGGGTGAATTTTGGATGAAAATGCCAAAATTAGTTCATAATAGAATATTTCAATTTTTGGAAGATTTCTGGAACCCAGAAGCTCGACGCACGCTGCGATAGTATGTCACGCATTATCAGGTCGCGTGGATATTGCGGTCAAAAGTCGGTTTTTTGGTATTATATAGGTTTTTTGTGACATTATACCATTATACTTCGTATTCGTCCTGGAAATTAAATATACAATTTGACAAATAAAATACATAAAAAAAAGAGAATACCTGGCTTGTAGAGTATATACAGGGTGTCCCAGAAGTCGACGTCAAGCCGAAACCGGGTGATAGGCAAAGTCATAACAGCTATCAGAAAAATATTTAAAAAAAATTATGTGTGTTTTGAAAATTATAGTTCTTTGAAAAAAATATAGAAATTTCACACCCTACGGCAGTCTGTCAACTCCTGTTACTACAAATATTAACTTTTTTTGGATTTTATTTTTACAATGTAATGATGAATAATCCATCTTCAAACTGGTGTCCCAACTTTACTGCCAACTTTTCTCGTTCAGGAAAAATTGCCACTTATTTCCTAACCAAGTATTCCAAAGTAAAACTTTGCTCAACTTTAACTGGCTGTACTGGAAAAAAATGTACTATGAGAGTTTGGCAAGTAACCTTAAAAGTTGGCGCATTTAATAACGATTCCAAAATGGTATTACTCGTTAACTTATGCACTATTTTTATTTGAAGAAAAACTGATGAAAATTTTTCAAAATTTCCTAATTCAACAGCGATTATGAAAACGCACAAGGACCCTTAAGGATAACTGTTTGCACAACAGTGGGCATCAAAATGCTGCTGATGATGATTTACCTTTACAGCAAATGCTCAAACTGTTTTCCTTCAGCCGCAATACACGCTCGACATCTTAAAAAAGATCGGGTTATTAAACGAGCGAATCCACGGTTAATAACAAACTCAGCTGCTTCCAATAGTCTTTGCCGTAGCTCAGCTACATTTTGAATCGGCTTGAAATACACTTTCTCTTTTACAGTTCCCCAGTAAAAAAAATCTAACGGATACAAATCTGGTGACCGGGCTGCCACGGTATTGTACCAGACCGCCCTATCCATCTGCCTGGAAAGTTTTGATCGAGATAATTTCTCACTGAGAGTGCATAGTGGGCTGGGCAGCCATCATGCTGAAACCACATGTCCCTGTAAATACTCAGTGGCACGTCCTCCAATAAATTTTCTAAATGATTTTGCAAAAAATCTAAATAAACCTCAGCAGTCAAAGTCTCTGGGAACTCAAACGGACTGATTATTTTACCATTTAAAATTCCTGTCCAATGGTTTATCTTGAAGCGATATCGTGATTTATCTTCTCTCATCAAATGTGGGTTTGCTACGTGCCACTCGTGTAAGTTATGCAGGTTCATGTACCCATCTTTCTTAAATGTGGTCTCATCTGACCATAAATTTTTTTCAAAGAACCGTGGGTCTTCCCTGTGTCTTTCTAACATTGTGCGACAAAAAGCAACTCGGGGCTCATAATCCCGTGGCAGAAAAGCTTGAGCACGCTGTATGGATGGAGCACGTTTTTTGCAAGATTCTATGGGCTGTACTTTTGGGCACACCTGTTTTTAGTTCTATTGCAAGCACTGAAGGACTCAGGTCTTCTTCGACAGCTCCTAGCACCACGTCTTCGTAAGGAAGGAAAGATCTTCCCTCACCGTGTGCTTGGTTTGGTAGTTGGCCCTCTGAGAACAGTAAGCGGTGCACATTTGTGAACACTCGATGATCTGGATGACGAGCTGCATTCGGGTACCTCTCACAGTAAAGTCTCGCTGCAGCACTAGCGTTGCATCTGCATTCCCCATAAATGAGGTGCATGTTAGCATATTCTTGTACGGTGTACCCGGACATAGCGGCACTGCACAATCACACTATCAAAGATAGTCTAAGGAAAGCAAATGTTGTTTTGAAGAGCAATTAAACAGTCCAAATCCAAATCACAAGCGATCAACAGTCCAGTTCACGAATCCAAAATTAGTAACAGTACGAAATCAACAAGCACGAACATGTAAAGATGCGCAGTAAACGAAGGAGTACTCATCGGTATCAAAGTGTGCAATAGCAAGTAAGGGATGTGCTTCATCCATACCACATACAGCGTGTTCAACCTCTCCTGCCCCGGGATTATGAGCCCCGAGTTGCTTTTTGTCGTACAATGTTAGAAAGACACAGGGAAGATCCACAGTTCTTTGAAAAAATTGTATAGTCGGATGAGACCACATTTAAGAAAGATGGGTACATTAACCTGCATAACTTACACGAGTGGCACGTAGCAAACCCACATTTGATGAGAGAAGATCAATCTCAATATCGCTTCAAGATAAACCATTGGACAGGAATTTTAAATGGTAAAATAATCGGTCCGTTTGAGTTCCCAGAGACTTTGACTGCTGAAGTTTACTTGGAATTTTTGAAAAATCATGTACAAAATTTATTGGTGGACGTGCCACTGAGTATTTACAGGGACATGTGGTTTCAGCATGATGGCTGCCCAGCGCACTATGCACTCTCAGTGAGAGAGTATCTCGATCAAAACTTTCCAGGCAGATGGATAAGGTGGTCTGGTACAATACCGTGGCCAGCCCGATCACCTGATTTGAATCCTTTAGATTTTTTTACTGGGGAACTGTAAAAGAAAAAGTGTATTTCAAGCCGATTCAAAATGTAGCTGAGCTACGGCAAAGACTATTGGAAGCAGCTGAGTTTGTTAATAACCGTGGATTCGCTCGTTTAATAACCCGATCTTTTTTAAGAAGATGTCGAGCGTGTATTGCGGCTGAAGGAAAGCAGTTTGAGCATTTCCTGTAAAGGTAAATCATCGTTAGCAGCATTTTGACGCCCACTGTTGTGCAAACAGTTATCCTTAAGGGTCCTTGAGCGTTTTCATAATCGCTGTTTAATTAGGAAATTTTGAAAAATTTTCATCAGTTTTTTTTTCAAATAAAAATTGTGCATAAGTTAACGAGTAATCTTCTAAGTGTTATACCATTTTGGAATCGTTATTAAGAGCGCCAACTTTTAAGGTTACTTGCCAAACTCTCGTAGTAAATTTTTTTCCAGTACATCCAGTTAAAGTTGAGCAAAGTTTTACTTTGGCATACTTGGTTGGGAAATAAGTGGCAATTTTTACTGAACGAGAAAGGTTGGCAGTAAGGTTGAGACACCAGTTTGAAGATGCATTATTCATCATTACATTGTAAAAATTGAATCCAA